AGCTGTAAATGATAATTTCGATCCCTCACACAGGTTTGTAATCCTCATTTGGCCCTGGTTATTAGGTGGACACCCTCAATGTCAGTCTGGCGTCGCTCAAAGGTCGTCCATAAACTATTGTCTCACTCTATCTCCAATAAACCTAGTGCAGACACGTCGCCAGAGCTCCCCTCATTTTATCTATGGTTAGCACAAGTCAAGAATCAAGCGCATTTTCACATACGGTTGCTGAAATCAAAATGATTGACAGTTTTCTAGAACACCAAATGGTTGAAGTTTGAGTGATTTAACCACTAACCTGTCCGGCGCTTAAAGTTATCTTACATTAGATCACCTTCCTGATTGATTTTTGTTTACATTCTTTTAATTCTGTTTTCCAAGTCACCCAGCAGGTCATTCGTGGTGAATGTTCTGTACTGTCTCAAGTCCGTGACCGGCCGAAATTCCTAATGGTGCCATCAAATACAGAATCGGAGTCAGACTTTCTGAAGCCATCTTTGCCAATGAAGCTGGTCTCATTAAACGTTTGCACACTGGTGCAAATCGCATAACAGATAGGTTTTTATGTCTAGACTGAGCTATTTGAGTAGGTACAATCTACCCGGTTGCGATCCTCGTGGTTATCATAACCAAAAGTTAGAGACTTGAGTTGACCGAACTCAGAATGGTCCACAGTGTCGCAGATGCATCTATTCTGTATTAGGAATTCCTAAATTAACTTATTTTTATTCCACCGATCCATATTTTCTTCCGGTACCGTATCTTCTATGTCTAGTTTTTTCTGCTACTATCAGTACTGTTACTACCTCTACTATATTATATATATATTATATAGTATATATATCTCGCTGTGCAAATGGGTTGGCAACTTGAATCTATGTCCATATGTCCCAGGTCCTACGTTGCGTCTGAATGAATGACCGGTCTAGAAAGTCTTGGTATCGTTGTCTGCCATATCTCTGAGATCACCATTCAAGACTTTCATAAAGCTCTTCATCTTTCGATTGCCAAAAACTTGTTTCATGTGCTCTTAGTTGGGGACCTTGTTTTACCTTTGTCATGTTTGGTTGGGATGGTTGGAAGAAAGTTTTTATTTATTTATTTATTTGAACACATAAATATTGGTACAAGAGAGCGCCAATATATATGCGCCACACAAAACAATGAAAATTCGAAGAGAGATAGAGAAAAAAAACAAAAAACTAAGGAGCACAAAAGAAAAAGAGAACGATAACGAAGAGATTGGTGTAAGGTAGTGTGGTAGTAACGAGGGAACGGAAAGGTACAATCAGAAGAAATCTTTCAGGTAAGGGAGACACAACCACTTTTTATGAAGAAAGTAAAAGAAGGTTACAGCAGGATCGCCACTGGCTTCTATTCTGAGCCATATCTGATAACGTCTCTAGCCACTGTGTAGCACCATCTCTCAGACCCCAACCAGGGAGTCGTGAAGGACCGACAGAAGCCAGTCCTTTGCAGCTTTCTTTCATACCACGACATCATGTCATGCACTGACCACCTCTCCGCTTTTTCCAACCAGTCCCAGAGTCGGCAAATAATGCACGACGTGGAATTCTCTGGGACGACATTCGTAGAACATGTCCAAGCCACCGAAGTCGGTGTTTCAAGATGGTGACACCAATTGAATTATCATCTCTGTGCCCAAACACACGATGCCGAACCTCTGCATTACTGACATGGTGTTGTCACTGAATGTCAGCGATCCTTCGGAGACAGCGATGATCGAACACAGAGAGTCGTCTAACGTCCTCAACTCGGAGAGGCCAGGTTTCACAAGCATAGAGCAAAACTGCTCTCACCGACGCGATGTAGATCCGACCTTTTACAGCCAGACTAACATCACGAAGGCGCCAAAGGTGGCCCAGATTGGCATAAGCCGCTCTGGCTTTCACTATACGTGCATTGATCTCATCACTCACATTACCACCAGCACTTATGCAGCTACCCAGATACACGAACTTCTCGACTACGTCTATCTGCTCACCATCCAGGGTGAGTGCAGGATTGGAATCCTGCCAGTCTTGTAGAAGTACTTTGCACTTCGAAGGTGCAAAGCACATACCATACCTACGGACACTGATTGCCAACTGATTAAGTGCGGATTGCATGCCTTGGGCATTATCGCACAGTAAGACAATATCGTCCGCATACTCAAGGTCGAGAAGTCTTTCTCCAGGCAACAGATCCACACCACCATTACTTACATTCATCAGAGCTGTTTCCAGAATGTCATCGATGGTAAAGTTGAAGAGGAATGGTGAGATCGGGCAACCCTGCCTAACCCCACTACTCGAATGGAACAATGGAGAGAGGTGGTTGTATGCCCTCACTCTGCCTGAGGTGTTTTTATATAGGGCTTTTAGGATGTTAATAAAGTTCTCAGACACACCCTTCTTCAATAGACAATCCCAGAGAACAGTCCTGTCCAACGAATCGAAGGCAGCCCTGATGTCAAGAAACACTACGATTGTTGGCCTTTGATAAGTATGGCGATGTTCTAACATTTGGCGGAGGGTGAAGATATGATCAATACAACCTCGACCAGAACGAAACCCAGCCTGCTCCTCGCGAGTCAATCTTTCTCGGGTTTTGAACAACCTACGAAGTGTGACGGAAGCCAATAGCTTGGACGCGATCGGAAGTAGACTTATCCCCGGATAGTTGTTGCAGGAACGACGTGAACCCTTTTTAAAGATAGGGACAACTATCGACTCATTCCATGACGTTGGTACACTCTCTAATTCCCAAACCTTTGTAAACAACGTCGTCAATTCCTTAGTCAAAAAGTCACCACCATCTTTAAAAAGAGCCGGAGGTAAGTCATCTGGGCCAGATGATTTGTAACGCTTCAAGAGTTGGAGTTCCTTGCGGACTTCCTCCTCGTTTGGTGGATCAGTCGTCACCGGCCATGGAGGGCAGGACAGTCTGACCGATGTTGCCGGAGCAGCAGGCCAGTTGAACTGCCCTTCGAAAAATTCTGCCCATCGTCCAAGACGTCGATGGATGTTAGTGATTGGCATCCCATCATCCTCGCAGATTGTTTCACTCACACCAGACTTCTTGCTGCCAGTGGCTCGGATGAACTGGAAGAGCTTCCGGTAGTTACCAGATGCAGCTGCTGCTTCCAGCTCATTAGCACGCTCCGACCACCAGGCTTCTCGGTCCTTACGCAAGCTTTGCCCAATTTCCTTACGTAACATCCTTCGTTTATGGTCAAACTCACGGTCACCCGGAGTGGACCGACGGGCTTCAATGAGTTGTAAGGAACCAGAAGAAACCCAGTGCTTAAAAGCGGGACGTTTCGCAAACCCACAACTGACTGTTCCCGCCATTTTCATGGCGTCATGCAATTGCAACCAATGCTCATCTATACCTTTCGGTGGAGTGGTAGCTAGCCTAGAGGCTAGCTCGGTTCGATACTTATTTGCAACAGAAGTGGCAACCAGCTTGCTAATATCAATCCTTTGATGGCGGTCACTTCGTTGTCCACTGAAAAGTAAGGCAAGATTGGCGCAGACCAAGGCATGGTCAGAGTCCAGATAGGTACTCAAAAAGGAGCGGCAGTCTTTTACACAACCACGCCAGCGGAAGCTGACCGCGATGTGATCAATCTGAGTCCAGGCTTGGGATGCAGAGAGAGGACGCCAGGTGGCACATCGGCGATGACTGTGCCGAAAGTTAGTGCTAGCCAGAAACAGGTTGTGGTCTGTGCAAAGTTGCAGTAGACGGTCCCCGTTATCTGACCTGCGACCAACGAGTCCCCATCGGCCACCTAAACGACTCTTTTCTGTGCCTAGACGCCCAACCTGAGCATTCAAGTCTCCGGCTAGCACTACAATATCTGTCGAACGCACTTTCTGGGGAAGAACAGATAACTGGTGGTAAAACTCATCCTTGATTGCATCCGGGCTGCAATCTGTCGGGGCATAGGCGGAGATGACGAAAAGACATCGTTTCTCACGCCGATTTCTTCTCACTTTGATGGAACTTTCTAATCTGACAGCACATAGCCGACTGTTAATGGGGATCCAATCAACTAGTGCTGCCTCAGCTCTAGCGCTTAGTGCGACACCAACGCCAGCAAGACCAGACGAAGATGCCACAGGGTCCCCGGATAAGCGCACGTAAAACAAGCTTTTCGAAGCGACAGATGGAGGTCGAATTTGTAGTACTTCACCAGAGTCTTGAATACGGGTTTCGGATAGACAACAAACATCAATATTAAGACTTTCCAAAGACATAGCCAGCCCTATCTGTTGTCCGACCTGCACTAGTGTGCGAACGTTGAAGGCAGCCAGTTTGAATGGTGCACGTGGTTTCAGAAAAACTGCTTCAGTTCTCGTATTCGGTGGTAACATACAATTTTCAACCGGACAGTGACTCGAGAACGTTTAGATACAGTCGAATTTCCACCAAAGACGAGCCGCTGTATAAGTATAAAAGAGGGTGAATAATGTGGAAAATTAATAATAATAATAATAATAATAATAATAATAATAATAATAATAATAATAATGGTAATAATAATAATAGTATTAATAATGTCAATAATTGTAGTGATAATAATTTAAATCAGTTTATTGTTTTTCGAAGCGAGAAAAGTAATTTCCATAGACATAAAGAGTTCATCATTTGTGTGTGGTTTTGGTTTGGCTATCTCTAACTTCCAAATTACTCCTACATCAGCCACTATCGCGCGTGACGATAAGAGGTGGTAGGGATAGGTGATGCATATCCAAACCACGTCGGTCAATAAAAATTCACACTATCAATTTCTGTTTTGTACCATCTTTAATAATAATAACCTTTCATTTAATATGGAACATTTCTTGGTGTATTTTTCATCCCACGCCTTTTTAAATCAATATTGTGATCATTTTTATATAATTCTTTTAGTTTATATACTATTTTCATGTCATAAACTGTTATTTGTTTGTATCTTACATTTTATACTCCTATCCTTTACTGTTCATATGTAGATGGAGTCGGACAACGATATAAACAGCCACTATAACAATGTATGTGATTCATTTGATGGTATGAATTTAAAAGAAAATCTTTTACGTGGAATTTTTGCATATGGTTTTGAAAAACCTTCTGCAATACAACAAAGAGCCATAATTCCGTCAATTGAAGGACGTAATGTTATAGCACAAGCTCAGTCGGGTACCGGGAAAACGGCCACATTTAGTATTGCCATTTTACAACAAATCTGCACGAATGATCCATGTTGTCAAGCTTTAGTACTGGTTCCAACTAGGGAATTAGCGAAACAAATTCAAATGGTAATTTGCAAATTATTCATTATTATTACTGTTATTTTCGTCTTCCAACTAAACGATGAGTTTACTGCTCACCAGTACACTGTTCTGCCTTACTGTTGTACAACGTGGCACTACTAGTATTTGATCATCGATGCTTTCGAAGCATTACTCACATATAATGGAACCATAGGGTAATAAATAACGCGATGGCGTTTGAAGTGAACAGTACTGGGTTCGTGTCCTGGAGTGAACGTCAACTCTAGAATGCAGGTATATCTAACTGGCAAGTCCCAAATAGGACGAAATGTGAGTCCTGGACTCCATGGCTAGCCATCATCCATTAAAAAATCCCCCAAATGCCCTTGTACGGCTGAGAGTGGGGAGAGTCCGCTCTCCCTTTCGAGATGCTCTCACATGGCCACGCGTATATAGCCACTGACAGGGAAATCCTACTCACTGCCTTCTCGTGGCGGGGGTGTTGTTTACGAAATTGAGAGGACGAAACGTGAATGTCCGGCGCTTTAACGGGGTTGGTGGACATGGAGCATCAGCCTAGAGGAGTTGGGAAACCCTGATTCAAAACCAATGATACACATGGGATCCAGTATCCTGCGGGAACAAATGGTATACCAACCAATTGTTGGTCACCGGCTTCCATGGGACTGCATCTCTTACGATGCTCCACTGCCTTGTGGATCAGACCTTCAGGTTGAAGGCTCGGGGAGTGGCCCTCTAAGTAAACCATCTACTTCGGTTTGGGCATTCGGGCAGTATCACAGCCCTCACACATATCGAATGAGATTTGTATGGCGCATATATATTTGGTGCCTCCTTGTACCAATATCTATGTGTTTAAATAAATAAATAGGGCAATAAATGCTGTGGTTAGACGCAAGGTGTTAAGCAAGGTTAGAAATTCAATTTAAAAGTTGCAGATCTTCGTTGACTAATGTAGATGAGATAAAATATTAAGTATCACAAACGACCGCCTATCTCTGTTCGCGTTGCTGGCTAAGGTAGTAATAAGTTGGAAGAAAGTTAGGAGCGGGCTAATCAAAAATTGACGTTAGTCTACTAAGTTATTGATTGTTGGACTGTGCCGTGTAAATGGAATGCATGTTACCTGCTTGAAGTCCCAGTTGATCTCCTTAACCGATAGCTGTTAATTCTTCGTGACCTCGTTTAAAATCGGTCGCAATAGAGTAAATGCATTCACTCTTTACTTAACCTTATATCTTGAGTTTTTAAATTATCCTCTTTTTGCAACAACTTAATTATTTCCCCTCAAATCATATCTTTACAACTACTCCGACATTTTTCTTAACAATTTCATTTCTCTGTAATAACGTATTGTAGCAACCTGGATTCGAAAATTCGAAAGCTATAATGTGAATACACCACTTTTGTAACTGATTATGATCCGTGGCACCTAAAATTTCCATCCATTCATTACAATCATCAGAGTCCTTAACAAGGTAGTTGACATCTAACATATTACAGTTCACCAGTCAATGAGTTTATAAACTGATGTTATGCTTTCGTTTTGCTACTACTGGCCTTTCTCTAACACATATTTTTATGCTAACTACCATTGAGATGTTGAGTTAGATAATGACTTGGAAAGTGTGATACATACCTCATAGCGATTTATTTATTTGAATACATAAACATTGGTACAATGTGGCACCGAATACATATGCGCCGCACAAGTCCCCTGATTTGTGTGTGGGCTGTGATACTGTCAGGGTGCCCAGAGTGAGGCAGGTGGTTTTCTTAGGGGGCCACACCCAGAACCTTTTGCCTTAAGGTCTAACGCACGAGGCGGTGGAGCAACGTCAAGAGATGCAGTTTGATGCTAGCCAGTGACCAACGATTGGTTCATACGCCAATTGTTCCCTCAGGATCCTGGAGCCCATGTGCACCATTGGTTTGGAACCAGGGTTTCCCATCTCTCCTAGGTGAACTCTCCGTGTCCACTGATTCAAAGGCTTTGAAGTGTTCCTCTCATGAGAAAACCACCTACTTCATTTTGGACACCTAGGGCGATATCCCAACCCTCGTACAAATTAAATATAAAACTGTAACTCATCTATTTGATGTTAAATCTGTATTTTACGTTAAAAGCAACTGTATTTACATCGTTTCTACAAACCAGTTAATGAAATAAACCATGAGTTTTATCATTCATTCAACTGACATCTACTTATAGTGACAACGTAATCGATCTCAATATTATTCAACCCAGATATTAATAGATTTTCTAATTCTTCCTTATTTCCCCCTTGGCAAATTATTGTCGTTGAGATCATGAATCAATCTTATAGAGTTAGGCAACCAGTGCTAGGGGTATTCCACATTAGGAAAAAAAGCTGTGCACTGCTCTCTTGGTTTCAGTGGTTTGTTTAACTGAGGTTAATTAATGATCTCGATAGTATTCAACAATCCCCTAAAACTCCCCATAACTGAAAGTTATTACTTTGTTTTTCTTTATTGTAAATAGGTTGTTCTAGCACTTGGTGATTATATGAATATTAGTTGTCATGTTTGCATCGGTGGTACACAAGTATCGACTGATATCGAACAGTTAAAGTTAGGTCAACAGATTGTAGTTGGTACACCTGGACGTGTTTTCGACATGATTAGTCGTGGTTATTTACGTACAAAGACAATTAAATGTTTTGTATTGGATGAAGCAGATGAAATGCTTAGTTTAGGATTTAAAGATAAAATTCACGATATATTCCGATCACTTGATTCAGCTGTTCAAGTAAGTTTATTATTATTATTATTATTATTATTACTTTTTCTGGAGTTTAAAGTGCGTTTTACTAACCAGTCGATGTCATCACTGAGAAAACCAACTTGAAAATGACCTATTACACCAAATAATTATTTCACTCTAATTTTAGGATCCTTAAAAATGTGGTATCCCTGACTTTCAACCATTAAGTCATGGGTTCGAATCCCTCTCTATGCATATCAATTTGGTCGCCTAGATAGTATCATTGAGCCTTAAAGGTATAGTGGTTCAAAATAGGGTATATCACTCCGTATTCGGCAAGTAATTTGCCGCAGGAAATTTTTGTCACGTAGCGATTATTAATAACGTTAAACTGCTAAGTTAGAACCTATTGGTTGACACTGTCAACTTCAATTGATTAGTGGTATATTTGGCCCTGAACAAAATGAACAAAATAGGGTATAATGCGAATATTTCTACCATGGAGACTCGAAGTAGCATGAATTGCTATCGTAATCGATATTTAACCCATATAATAAGGCTTATTATATAGAAAGTGATGTACTAAGTAGGAATGATAATGAAGCATATAGAACGATAAATATGACTTTACATTTTGAATTGTCATCTTAAAAAAGCTATACAGTTCTTTTTTAAGTTGTTGCATGCTAATTATATCTGGCGGTGAAATGACAGAATGTTATCATCTTTGTACGTAAAATTTGACTGGTATTCTCATTTACTTATCTCACAACCAACACTAGTTCAGTATTCTTGTATTAGTGATTTCATAACTGTCCAACGGACAACAATCTTGTGTTTGGTGTAAATCAAAACTGATTTAATAAGTTTACAGAGTAAAACCTTACATCCAATTACGCTTTCTCAGAACGCAATTAATGGTTTAAGTTAAAAATCTAACTATTATTAATAACTTCATTATTTGTCAGTTTAAATAATTGGAGGAAGGTTTGAACCTACCATCCGACAACTGGATGTTAAGTTCTTCAGTCAGTTAGTTACAACGTAGGACCAGACACACATATGCATCGGTCCGAGTTGCCATACCTCATTAGTACAACACGATGAACACCAAATTCATAGAAGTAGTTACTGCAATGGTAGTAATATATAAAAGAAAGATTGTATATAAGGATATAATACGGGAAGAAAGAATTAGAAGTAAACGTATAAAGTAATTTTAATCTCACGCTTTAAAGGAAGATAAAGAGTATATACATCGATGCCATTATGTTGGCACACCGGTTCTCGTCCGATCACCGCAGTTAAGCAACGTTGGGCCCGATCAGTACTTGCATGGATGACCGGCTGGGAATACCGGTTGTCACCGCGACCATGCCACATTAAGTTCTTTAAGCAATTCTCTTATGATTAACAGATTTTATTATTAGCACGATAATGAATAAGTCACACGAAAAATCTAGTTTCCAGTCCATCATTATATACCAGGTAGTCTGTAAGTGTTATAGTTCAAATCTGATACTGAATAAGACTTTCTAGATCAAATTTCAATCTTTCCCTTTCAATATGATTTGTATGACTTCATCGATAAAATGAACTTTTGTGATAGATTTTTTTTTACTGTTTTAATCAGTCAAACGGAAACCAGTTTTATATAACTATTCATTTGTGTATATCCTGGCGATCATTGTTTTTCTGCACTGTCATGGTTACTATTTGCGTGGAAAATTTACGCCCACTTGTTGTCTCATTGTACTGTTTTTTTCACGCGCTACTTTATGAACATATTTTCATGCTACTGAATAATGCACAAGTAGTTTGAAATTTTGTTATTAAATTACTGTTAAATTATCATTTATTGTATGCAGATTACGGGTGTTGGTAGCTTGCTTGTTATCGGTTTCTCTCTATCCTTATTACGAATACTTATCTAGATTCTTTTTTTAACGATGAATCGACTTCAACACATTGACTGTTGGGCTTATCTCCTGTGTAATAATAAACAAGTATTAGATAGGGGTATATTTCAAACAAGCTTGTCCCCAAGCACAAATGAGTGGTATGAATGCGTAAATGCCAAGTATATGTAGGTTATTGTGTATAACTATAAAAACTGTCTTTAACCATAGTCTAGTATTTAGATTTAGTACAAGATCATTACATAAACGTTTATTACATGACCAGTAACAACTGAATCATTTGGAGTGCGAATGACATACATAATTGATTTTGTTTTCAATCATCTGTGACATCAATTAACATCTTAAGAAGAATTCTGACTGTTAATCTAAGTGGAACTAAATAGTATCAGATGCTGTGTATTCCTAAATCATTTTGATTTGTATCATCAGTCAAATAAATCCTTACCATCAGTCTTTGATTCTTGCACTTCGCTCCTTGTAATCACGTTACTGTGTAGATTTAGTCAGAGGCTATTAGAAGTGACTAGAAAATTGGATCTTATATTCAATTAGCAGACTTATCTATATTCAAGCATTCATATACGTATATAAGTCAACTAAAGGACGAGTTTTCTGTACAGCAGTTCGTTCCGTCCTACTTTAATGGCTGTGAAACATGAACGGTAAGAGTAGAGGATATTTGTAGGTTACTAGTATTCGATCATAGGTGACTTCGAAGCATTGCTCGTACATCCTAGGAGCATCGAGTAAGTAATGCAGTTGTTAGGAAACGGGTACTAGGTAAGGATGGCAAATCAATCGATAAAGTAATCAAACTTCATCAGTTGAGATGGCTGGGACGTGTTACGTATGCCCAACCACCGACTGCCTCGACGTGCGATGTTTTATGGTGTAAGAGTAGATTGGAAGAATGCTAGGGGCGACCAAACCAAAACATGGCAAAAACCCATGAAGTCAGTGACAAGTGGACTGAGCCATGTTGGTAGGTGTAGACTACGTGGTTGTGATCTGCGAGATGATAGTAATCGATGGTTAGAGACCCTGAATGACATAGCTCAAAATCGTTAGCGATGGCGCAGGTGTGTCCACTCTTTATGTCCTCCCAAATTCTAATCTTCTGAATTCTTCATGTTCGTTTGTTTTTTCTCTTTCCAAATTGATTTCACTGGGTTATTCTCCTTGAATAACATCTTCAAACTATAATATTTCCATTTACTGATCATATATTTACTACCTCTGCTACTAAGGGATTTGAACCGACAAATGTATCTGTGTGGTAATGTGGTATGACAACTTGAACTGATGTACGTACGTACGTACGAAGTTCTACGTTGTTGCTGACTGACTGATACGTATATATGTGCGCAAGTAAAATCTCATGATTACTCACAGGTGCAAGTGATATGTAACCAGTCTTATGATGATTTTACATTCGACCATCAACTATTTGTCCTATATCTTCCTAACACTGATCAAAAGAATAGGCGTATAAAATTTCTGCGAAAATCGAAACGATTATTCTCTTCAGAAATTAGGACAGGGCCACCACAACATTATATATGTATATATATATATATATATATATATATATTTATTGATCCTTGCAACTAAATTGTTACTAGATGACATCAAAATAAACAGGATGTAGTGTTAATAATGTGAAAGTTTCAATTAGTAAAACAGTTAAACATTGTTAATTGTGAGATGGTGGAGAAGAGTTCAGGTGGATGATTTTAATGGAGTTTCTTTGTTTGAGCTGGATTGTTTGGTCGTGGACCTTTCATCATTCTTCTGAACAACATCATCAACACAAAATCCATTTACAGATGGTGTTGTTCAAGTTTTTATATAGTCATTCTTTTAATATGTACTTCAATTATATTTTATATTTTGTTAAAAAAGTTCTTTTTCGTGGAAAATTCAATTGCTAAATAAACAGATCTTTCTACTTACACATAATTTCTATAAAACAAGTTCCTCTTCATTTAACCCCTAAATGCCTTGTTTTGGTTGGGAGTGAGGAGATTCAACTCTCCCTTGTAGTTTCCATAATAATTATTCTTATTTATTCATTTAAACGCATAAACATTGGTACAAGGAGGTACCAAACAGATATACATCGCACAAATCATTCGATTTGAGTGAGGACTATGATACTTCCCGGATGCCCAGACCCAAAGTAAGTGGTTTTCTTGTAGGGTCATACACGAAGCCTTCGATCCAAAGGTCTGATCCACAAGGCAGTGGAGCGACGTCAGGAGATGCAGTCCTATGGTAGCCAGTTGTTATGTTTGAAGCGATTACGAGTTCACCTACTCTGCGAACGGAACAAAAACTCTGTGACCAAAGACCAATATGCTAGCTATTATGATGCGTCCCAACCCCACTAACTAGAGAGAGAAGTCCAAGTTCGAAACGGGGAAATATATTTCGCAAGCAGCCAGAAGCTTGAAGAACCACGACAAGCACAGATCAAACGTATATATACAGCATAAAATTGTCATTGGGAAGTGTTACAAAATAGCATACGAAAAGATACAACGAACCAATAACGTTTAAGATTCTCTCAAGTGGGAAATACGACATGAAATTGAAAAAGCGATTTTCGCGTGAAAACAATAAACTCAACTTTTCAAAATACAATGACAAAATTAAGGTATTTACCAAATGAGTTCTGGGGATCTAACATCCCCAACACCAGTGACCGATAATTGGTTCATATGCCATTTCTTCCTTCAGGATTCTGGAGCTCATGTACACCATTGGTTTGGAATTAGTGTTCACCAATCCCCTAGATAGATCCTCCGTCTCTACCAACCCAGTTAAAGCATTGAACATTCAGTTCTTGTCCTCTCAATTTCGTGAACAACATTCATACCGCGAGAAGGACTTCTTTTTGAGTAGCTGTATACACGTGGTCATGTGACAGCATTTCGAGAGAGCGCGCGGAAGAGCTGGTTCTCTTTACCTTCGGCCGCACAAAGGCATTTAAGAGCCTACTTTTGAATGGTTTATTTCTGTATCCATATTTTTACCATTTTGTTTTCTTACGTGTACTTCTTAATATTTTGTTCTAGTGAGAAGCAGCGACCAGTAGATTTCAACCGGGTCTGTCGTGAGATAGTAACTCACCGATGACAATAGTGGATATGTCGCTCAATTTCGTGGATTAGTTAAAGTCAGATATTAACACCGTTGGATGTTGGCCGGGTCAGTAGTTTAGCGGTTAAGCGCTCGCGCGCGCGACTGATAGGTCCTGGGTTTGAATCCCGCGGGTGGGGTCGTGGATGCACACTACTGAGGAGTCCTACAGTTGGACGAAACGGCTGTTTAGTACTTCCATAATCTCAACCATTGAAATTACTACAACCTTCACAAAGCTCCTACTGATATATTTTTTTCTTTTTCTCAGATTATTTTATTATCAGCAACAATTCCTCATGAAGTATTAGAAATATCAAAACAATTCATCCGTGATCCAGTACGTATTTTATTAAAACAAGAGGAATTAACATTAGATGGTATACGTCAATTTTATGTTAATGTTGAACGAGAAGAATGGAAATTAGAAACATTATGTGATTTATATCAATCAATTACAATAACACAAGCAGTAATATTTTGTAATTCACGTAGAAAAGTTGAATGGCTAACAAACGAATTAATTGAACGTGATTTTATTGTATCAGCAATAGTAAGTATATATCACATTTCATTTTATGATAATTTAGACTATTGCAATATTTTATTTTTATTTATAACAATGAACCCAATGCTCAATTTATTCGAAATTATCAAATCAAACCTTGGTAATGACACCTATTGTAATATACTACTTGTAAATATTATCTATCTGGAAACTCAGTGGTCTTGAGTGCTGTTAGAGGTATGAGGGCGGTTATCACTTCCTGGTTGCGCACACCGTAGAAGGGTTCTTCTGGAGGTACCTGAAAAGGAAATTGGATTAGAGATGGTCTTAGTGACTTAAGAGCATGACCTCAGTGCCCAAGGGACAACTGCTTGAGGTCGGTCACAAACGACCTCTTTGTGAGTAATTTTCGTGTTAGCTCCGTACTTGTTGAGATCTTACCGCCGGAAACGGATATCCGTGGGATAAGGCGAGGTGTGCATTTTTATTGTCGACCTTTTCTAACTCCACCCCTCCTTTTGGGACGGCAACATCGCTGTCATGCTGGTTGTCTGAAGGAAACACCTTACTGCTGTCACACCTCTGTACAGTGAGCAGTACGACTTCGCCTTCGGAACGGTTGTTCCAGCCAGTACAGCTCGGTTGCTTCATCACGATAGACAAGCCCGACCACCACGTCAAGGTAGCAACAACGGTTGGGTATCTGGAAACTGAGACTTACTGATGACTTAACCACTAAGCCATCTGATTTACAAATAGAAATATACCTTGTAAAATGGTGGTCTTACATTGGTTCTCACTGTTGGGGAAATTCAGAAAACTTCTCTGAAAATGCTGAGAAACATCTTATCCAATCAGCATTCATTCGAATTTTTGCCAGAAGCATCTGGAACGTGACAAGTCAAATGTTAACTTTCTGATTGGATGATTACCTATATCGCTACTACGTTTAGTAGCGTTCCAGAATTTTCCGGAAGCTTGAGACCATCCAAAATACTATAAATACCCTAGATTTTCAGAACATAAACGAACATTGGAGTAAAACATTTTTTCCATATTTCTCACCTTTTCTCTCGTGTTCAATTCGCCATGTAGATTTAGTCTGGAAGTTACTCAAAAGAGCTTATGAAACCGAATCTAGAGTTCAATTAAAAGACTTATCACTATTGTCAACAAAAGAAAACTTTAAAATTTCATCAAAAGTCTTATCTATAGAGCATTAGATAAGAATGGGAGGGGATCAATTAACGAGACAGTAAATCTTCTTTGTCTGAGATAACAGGGACGCGTATTGCATCTATTAGATCATCACCTGCATTGACGAGCAGTATTAATTGATTTAAAACGATGAGTAGATTAAAGCAACGGTTCATAGAAATTGTGACTCAAAATCAGTTTGTAAAGTTATTAAAAGTTGGTTTTTGACGTATTGGTTGATTATAAACTGACTGATTTATGTTCAGATGATAATATTGATCAATGATTGCAGATTGTGTCCGACATCAGCTCAAAATTGGTTGTAGTAGCCTTATTTATTTGTTCCATCACAAAAATTGGTACAAGAAAGCATCAAATAGATATGCGCCACATAAATCATTCAATTTGTGCGAGGGCTGAGATACTATCTGGGTGCCAAAATCGAAGCGTTTGCTGTTGTTAGGTGGCCATACCCCAAGCCTTTGATCTAAATATTTGATCCACAAGGCAGTGAAGCAGTGTTATGAAGTGCAGTCCCATAATAGTCGGTGACCAACGATTGGTTCATACGCCATTTGTCGCCTCAGGATACTGGAGCCCATGTACACCATTGATTTGGAATCAGGGTTTTCCAACCCCTCTAGGTGGATCCTTTATATCCACCAACCCAGTTAAAGCACCGGACATTCGCTTTCCGTCCTTTCAATTTCGTAAAAAACAGTAATGCTGCTAGAAGGCAGTAAGTAGGAATTTCCTGACAGTGGCTGTATAAACATGGTCATGTGAGAGCATTTAGAGAGAGAGAACGGTCTCTCCTCATCCTCGGCCGTACCAGGGCATTTGGGGGTTTTATAGCTTTATAGAAACTTAAACTCGACTGTATCATATTCAATACTAAAATAAAATATTTTTTATTCTGGTTAGCGTTTTCTTTTTAGCAAGGTTATATTTATTAAGATGAGGTTGCCGACCTTATCCCCAACCCTCCTCCTTTGTATGGGCTTATGATTAGCATCAACCATAGAAGAGCTACAGTCGGAGTTAGAATAAAATATCATCAACTGAAATCAATATTACAGTTTATTTAACTAAACTCTCAATGTTTTATTTATCTTATGTATGATTCTTTTATATTCAATAATTCATTAGCATGGTGAAATGGAACAAATAGAACGTGATAATATTATGACAGCATTTCGAAGTGGTTCAAGTCGTATTTTAATATCTACTGATCTATTATCACGTGGTATTGATGTACAACAAATTTCATTGGTAATTAATTTTGATTTACCAACAAATTTAGAAAGTTATATACATCGGTAAGTGAATATTATATTATTATTATTATTATTAATACTGCGAAATTGAGAGGACGAAAAGCGAATATCCGATGCATCAACCGGGTTGGTGGATATGAACGATCCATCTAGGGGAGTTGGAAAACCCTGATTCCAAACCAATGGTGTGTTCATGGGCTCCAGTTTCCTGAAGGGACAAATGGTGTATGAGCCAAATGTTGGTCACCGGTTACCATGTGATTGCATCTGATGTTACTCCACTGCCTTGTGGATCAGACCTTTAGATCGAAGGCTCCGGGTATGGTCCCCTTAGAAAACCACCTATTTCGATCTGAGCACTCTAACAGTATCACAGCTTATACACATATCAAGTGGCTTGTGTGGTGTATATGTATTTGGTGCTCCTTTGTACCAATATTTGTGTGTTCAAATCAAATCAAATAAATACCAAAAACACTGCGAATCGTATAAGAAATTTATTTGTAATATAGAATTAGTCAATAGGTTATAAGCATTGTAGAAACTGGCACGTGTATATATCGGTTCTAGATGCTACACTGTATAAACACAACGAAACGTACAACTTATTAAAACAAATATCAAATTAGTAGAAACATCAATAGTATCCACGACAAAGAGTGGATGCATCTGCACCATTGTGACTAATTCTGTGTTATGTCACTTAAAGTCTCCAGCTGCGGAGTTTACATATTCCTACTCAGCTTATTCCGATAATCAGTAATTTTGTAGACTGATGTGACTCCTTGATTTTTATAACTTTAGTTTCTTTTATACCTATTCCTATACTAATTATCATCGCAGATTGTTGTAGGCAATTGTTGGGTATATATAATTTATGTACTAATCACGTTAGTTGTCGAATATTAACAATATTACCTGCTTATTATCTATATTTATTTAATACTCTTTGTCTAACCTCAATATTGTTTACACAATGGTCCCATTATACAAGAGCAATACTTCTCAGGTATTCATAACCAAATACTAGCGACTTACGAATGTTCCCTATTTTGATGACCACATTTTTGGAAGTTAGAATATGGAACAAAAATAAAGTGTATGCTTAAAGAATTAACTTTTTATGTTAGTTATTGTTTTTTATGCCTTGAATACTAAAATCATTCTGTAAAAAAACTTATTTGTCTCTTCAGAATATTTATGCACTTCATTGCAATGATTACTGGAGCCCTTATAATCCAGTATTCAATTTGGAACGGCAGAAAAAGTTATTTCTGATCAGTTTATCATGTCAACCTACATCTCATCGTTGTTTCGATAGTTTATAGGCAAAGTTAACCAGTTTTCATGTTAGATTAATGCATTACATACTTTTCAAGGCATAGAAACTCAACTTTAACCATATACATAATACGAGTCTAGTACTACTATGTTCGAGGGACTAAGGTATCACCTTAAACTGGCAAACGGAATGTAATCCAACAACACTAACAGGACGAAGATGAGACATTCGTCTGAACATCAACCCTGCTAACTAGAGAAAGAATACCAGAATCAAAAGAGAATAGATATTTAATTTTAAAAGCAACCCGGAAGAACGAATAACAAGCACTCAACTCTTTGTGTCACCATCTTGAAACACCGACTTCGGTGGCTTGGACATGTTCTACGAATGTCGTCCCAGAGAATTCCACGTCGTGCATGATTTGCCAACTCTGGGACTGGTTGGAAAAAGCGGAGAGGTGGTCACTGCATGATATGATGTCGTGGCATGAAAGAAAGCTGCAAAGGACTGGCTTCTGTCGGTCCTTCACGACTCCCTGGTTGGGGTCTGAGAGATGGTGCTACACAGTGGCTAGAGACGTTATCAGATATGGCTCAGAATAGAAGCCAGTGGCGATCCTGCTGTAACCTTCTTTTACTTTCTTCATAAAAAGTGGTTGTGTCTCCCTTACCTGAAAGATTTTTTTCCGATTGCACCTTTCCGTTCCCTCATTACTACCACACTACCTTACACCAATCTCTTCGTTATTGTTCTTTTTTTTGCGCTCCTTAGCTTTTTTTTCTTCCTATTGCTCTTCGAATTCTCATTGTTTTGTGTGGCGCATATATATTGGCGCTCTCTTATACCAATATTCATGTGTTCAAATAATAAAATAAAAATACATACAAAACAAAAATGTCATTGAAAAGCGTCACAAAATTACATACTAAAAGATTAAACAAACCAATGACGTTTAAGCTTCTTTCAGGTGGGAAACAAACTGAAAGTAATAATAGGCGCTTTTGTGGCGAAAATGTAAAATTAAAGTCTTCCCAATGAAGTCACAAAAAAAGAAGTTTACCGAGTGCATTCTGGAGATCTAGCATCCCTAACAACTCCCATTTTCATTAGCGTATATTCCTGGTATTCAACTGCATCTTGACTGTTTGTCGCCGTTGTCTCATCAACCTTCTGGAACACAAGTCAGTCCATTTATGAAATTCATCGCGACCGGGGGTACGTTGAATGTATCCATCAGAACTTTAAGCAGGAGATTTCTGTTTGTCTATGGGAGATATAAGTTTAATTATTTTGGTAGCTGGCGCCGGTGTCGAGTCCACCTGTCTCTTTCACCTCTAGTTCATACATGACTTGACCTCGCTTTTCGATCACACGTAATTCCGTGTAGGGATTGTGGTTCGGTTTATAGTCCCGAGAAAGCATTGGACACCCAACCTCGTCCGTTGGTAGTTCCTGGGACCCTGTCTATATAGTTCTCTGTAACATCGGGTTGTGGATCGTCATTAGTCAGGTGCTAACATCAGTTGAGCTATTTCCATTTTGCCCTTAAAAAGCACATTACTGGACATTATGTTCCGCTGTATGGTATTACTCCTTCACATAAGCACCTTTCAAACAAAATCAATAAATAAGTACAAAGTTTCTGCATATCATCACTTTGGAATGGCTCATAATTTAATATGTATAGAGATTTGAATTTTTCATGTTGTTTATATTAAGCCTTACAATTGATCAATATCTCTTACTATATTTACATCCTATAAATATCAACACTGGGATACAGTGTACATTTAACTGTTGAGTCAGAAAGCTAATTTCTTAACATGATTTCAAGCCATCGCTCGACTTGAAGGAAAATGTACAATTTTTTTGATAATTATATTAATTTCACAGATTGATATCATGTCAATTGAAGCTAAACCACCATGGGAAACCTGGAAGCACTGGACGGCCGTTTCGTCCTAGTATGGGACTCCTCAAAAGTGCCCATCCACGATCCCGCACCCCGCGAGATTCGAACCCAGGACATATAAGTCTTGCGCCAAGCGCTTAACCATTAAACCACTGAAGTGGCAGGCATCCAATGGTGTTAATGTCTAACTTCAACCAGTCCACGAAGTTGCACCACTGTATATACCATTGTCTTCAGTAAGCTGATATCTCACAACAGACCTGGTTGAATTCCACTAGTCACTGCTTCTCACTAGAACTCCAGGAGTATCTCTTGAAGTCAGTCACTAGTGAGCAGATGATTGATATCATGAACCGACTGATGTTTAGACCTAGAAACAGTAGACGGTGGTGGTCTAACATCAATTGATTCATGATCTTAATCAATAAATTAATCATCTCCACAATTCTTTTTTGATAATTATATTAATCTCTTTCATAAAGTAACTTTTAATTCTTCTTTCCCTCCCCCCTCTCTATTTATTTAATTATTTTTTTTAGTATTGGTCGTGGAGGTCGTTTTGGTCGTAAAGGTGTTGCTATCAATTTTGTTACATTAGCTGATGAACGTTTATTAAAAGATTTACAAAAATTCTATAGTACAAAAATTAGTGAACTTCCAATGGATGTAGCTAATTTATTTTAGAATTAAAAAAAAGTATATCTTCATATTTGATACCTACACACATACACACACACGCATGAATATATGGTTGACAACCTTCATTCATTCATTCATTCGGAAAAAAACTTTCTTTTCTTTATTATATACACATATCTATTATCATTTTTATTAAAGAAAAGTTTATTGAATATGTATTTTCCCAATTTGTTTTTCTCTTTTCTTTCCTCTTTTTTTCTTGAAAAACTTTTCTCTCTTCTTCTCCTTCTTTATTTCAGTTTTATCTACCAAAAATGATAATAAAAACTCATCTTTAACTGAATTATGTATTCTCCTTGTTCATTCATAAACTTTCTGGAATATAAATTAACCTTCTTTGTTGTTGTTGGATGAATAGTGCTGGTGGGTGGTAGTCTATACTCCTCCACGAGGAGTGACAGGTGTAAGTAAGTTTGTTGTTGTTGATAATTCACTGTTTCTTCTTTTCAATACAGTATTTATGGATCTCGTTCATTGTTACTTCTAATGAATAATATGTTTAATGTGTTCGCATTGAATTCTTCTCATTACATTTAATTGGATTGATATTAAACAATATTCATTTATTCCTTGACTTCTGATTAGTAGTCACATTGTTCTTCTTTCCTTTAAATCTCGTATGTGATGAATTGTCTTTTTGTTGTCGTTGTTGTTGATGATGATGATGAGGATTCACTGTTTCTTCTCTTCGATACAATGTTAATAAATCTTGTTCATTGTTACTTATAATGAGTAATGTGTTTAATGTGTGTTCCTATTTTGTTTCTTATGATTGGATTGATGTTAAACAATGCTCATTTATTCATTGACTTCTGATTAGTAGTCATCTTGTTCTTTTTTTATGATCTTTTATGTGCTGAATCGTCGTTGTCTTCTTCTGCTTTCCTTCTTCCTTTCTTTTTCCCCACTCAATTAGTTCTGTATAGAAAGCTTTCATTTCCTTTTATATTTCTATTCTTTATTTAAGAAAATCAGTAACTTTTATTATAGAAATTTTCAACTATCTAAAATAGAAATCAACAACATTGGTTGTGATGGTTTAACTGCTGTAAACAGTATAATATTGATTCATGAACAAATAAGAGAAAAAAGTACTTTGATAATTCATCTGTTACTACTGTGTTCACAATTCGCGTATTGCTATTTTTTCTTCTTCCAATTGTTGCTAAGAGCATCATTAGTCCCCTTTTTACTTGTCTTATTTTCATAGTATGATATTATGATTGGTATCTATCGAACTATATATTCTGCTGTATGTTGAATTAAGGACTGATTGTTTCATGTAGTTCTTTAAAGACAATGTGTATGTGTGTGTGGTGTCTTTCAGATATCTACTTGTCAATTGTTTCTGTTACGAGGGGATATCATTGAAATTTTTAAAAAAGGACTTGTTTTTTTTTGTAAATGTGATTATTCATCATTCTATACGCCTTTCTGTCCTACTTCTCTATGGTTGGTTATTTGGATCTCACTCCTCTTTTTTTGTGTTGTTTGTCATCTTAAGTCTGTATCATCATTATTACTGATAATATTATTAATATTACTCTATTTTAATTTCAATTAGCAACTGATGGTCAATAGTCTTCGAGTATAAATATGAAAAGGTAGCCATTGTATTTATGTATGTACTATTTTAGTATTGGATTTAAATTGATTCATTAATTAATTACATATTCGTAGATGATATTCGTCATACGAACGCTGGAGAGTTGTTTTGCTCTAATGTGGTATTCAATAATGCCCATCTATAGTACCACTAAGGATCATTATTATTTAAACACAGAAACATTGGTACAAGGAGGCACTAAATATATATATGCGCCACACTTCATCATCCGATTTGTATGGGGGCTGAGATACTGGCCAGGTGCCTAAACTGAAGCAGGTGGTTTTCTTAGAAGGCCACTCCTCGGACCTTTCACCTAAAGGTCTAATCTACAAGGCAATGAAGCAACGTTAGGAGATGCAAATCTCATGGTAGCCGGTGACAAAGAATAAGTTCATACACCTTTTTTCCCTCAGGATCCTGTAGCGCATATATACCATTTGTTTGAAATGAGGGTTTTCGAACTCCCCTAGATGGACTCTCCGTGTCCATCAACCCGGTTAAAGCGCCGAACATTCGCTTTTCGTCCTTTCAATTTCGTGAACAATAGTAATGCTGCGAGGTGGTGAATAAGACTTCCCTGTCAGTGGATGTATACATGTGAGAGCATTTCGAGAAGGGGAGCTAACTCTTCCCACCTTTGACCGTACCAGGGCTTTAATTGCACTCAGTGAACGCCTAACCACTGGGTCGGAATCCAGTGGTATAATTCCAGCTTTAATCAACTTGATATGTGACGCAACTATCATTAATAGTTATGAGTGACAACTGTTTCATTTTTGACAAATCTGAACTCCAACAACTTCAACCGTGTCTAACTAACTAGTCAGTAGTTCGCTTACTCGGCTTTCATTCATTTTAATTATGATAGCTATCAGTATAATATCTGACCGCTCAAGTTAAATAAGATGAAGTGGGATTCGGATTTTTAATAAAATGAATGAAGGTTGATTGTTATAAGTAATGTAAGCCGCTGTTATAACGTACATATTTAAATACTGGTGTGTACAATTGATACACTGTGATTATACAGACTTTGAAATGCTCAATATACACTAATCGTATCATTTCTTCATGTGGTACTCCACATTTTTTGGTAGATAATTCACTTGTATTATCTCAGATTCAGTTACTCAAAACGTCTATGTATGTTCTCAGATTTTGACCACAGATGTCTAAGAAATATTGCCAGCATCTATTGGGATCACCGGGTTAATAATAGTGAGGTTAGAAGTAGTGTATTAGAAAATGATGGTAAATCAGTTGATGAAGTTGCGCATCTTCATCGACTGAGATGGTTGGGCCACGTGTTACATGTTGGAAGAAAGTTATGAGGGCGGCCAAACCAAAACATGGCATCAGTCCTTGAAGTCACTAACGTCTGTTCTGAGCCATGTTGGTAGATACAGACTACTTGGTTGGGGTCCGCGTGACTATCGTAACCAATGGTTGGAGACTCTTGGTGACATGGCTCAGAATCGATCACAATGGCGTCGGTGTATACACTCCCTGTCTTCCCTTAAACTATGAGATTAAAATCGCTTCATATCTTTCTTTCTACGAACTAATTCTTTCTTCGTGTATTATATCCTTATTGCAATCTTTCTTTTATGTATTACCACCTGTGAATTAACTAGTTTTATGAATCCGGTGTCCATCTTGTTGTGTTAATGAGGTATGGCAACTTGGACCGATACATATATGTACTTGGTCCTACCTTGTAGATGACTGGTTCCCAAATTTTACTCTCCAACCGCAAATGCGTTATCAGGTCCGAATTTTCTTAACTCACTTTATCAGCAATCTTTCAGATAGTGAATCAGCTACGGGAAATCGCAAGAGACGGACATATAATCTTTCTCTTGCATCTAACTTTATCGCTAAATATTTGGTCCACTTGAAAAGAGGCATTTTAATCACTTGGCTATCGGTATTCAATAGCTATGTGGATAACGCGATGGTGTTTTTAGCGAACGATACTGGGTTCGAGTCCCAGAGTGAACATCAAATCTGGAATGCAAGTATATCCGGCTGACGAGTTCCAAATAGGACGAAACGCGCATCACACTGGACTCCTCTGCTACTTACTATCCATCTTTGCTTATAAAGCTTGTGGCTTCAAGCAATATCGAGGCAGGATGCACATATGCTAACAAGAGACTGATGAATTGTAGTCTTAAATGACAATGAGAAGATACAAGTAAACAACACCAAGTGAATAGATTATATTCTTAAGTTTCAATAGAAAATTCAACAGCTCATTTCATTTACATACTGGATAAATCATGGTATATCACATTCCTTAAGTAGTACGAATGATAGACTAATTGATTAGTATTCATATGATAAGTCAAATACCTATAGAAATCGAGTTGTATATATTTTGGATTCGAAAAACTAATTCTGGAACCTTGGATTATCATGTGTTGCCTGCTTGAGTAGAGAAAATGTTAGTTTATCTATCGAAGGATCATATGAATTCAATTATAATCTATCCAGCTTTTTTATTCTACACAAATGTAATAACCTTTGGCATTAACTAGTTTACTTATTCCTATTAACATGTTAATTTAGTAAAATTCAAACTTTCACATTTTCGTGTTATGTTTAATCATTCTGAATTTACATCACGAACTGGTATTAGACAAACCGAAGCAATGAACGGCTCTTTCATCCTGATATGACATGTCTCAGCTGTATGCATCCAAAACCCTACCACTGGGTGGCAACTCAGCTATCTATAAATCAGACACTCACAGCAAGACCTAAGGGTGCTGGAACCAATCCCTAGTGGGATTGAGGATGCACACTGCTGGAACGTTCCTTACCAGAATGAAATATCTATTCAGTACTTCTTTATTTTCATTGATTGTCTAAGATCACTTCATAATGTAAACCACACAATCACAAACTCCTTTTACTTCTCTATCGTCTATTGTGTTTAAAGCACATATGAAACACTACAAGAATAAACCGGTTATATTTATAAGTGCATAATTTGTTACGTAGAATCATATTCAGTTCAATTTGATACATCTATATAGCATGATGTTTGATGTTTTCCGCTCCTTCAGTCTTGTTTGTATTATGTTCACTACTTGAGTAACGTAAAATACGGTATACAACTACAACACTCGAACGTATAAAATCTCACAGTCACAAATCAGAAGAAATCTGGAGAAGTGTTTGTTGGGTAACAATCAAAATGTACAGAAAATCATGGGTGTTTATAGATATTAGCGTTTGTTATATCAACATTATAATTCAGCCAATCTTCAAAGCGGTATTTTATGCCACTGTCCAGTAGTAGTAGTAGCATGCCACGCCGATATTTTAGAGAGTTCCGTCACGTTAGGATTGAATAGAAACTTCGGCTACTTTAGGGCTTCTAGAGTCTCCGTCGTAATTCTAGGAAGCCTTCCCAACAATTCGCAACTGTCTTTAATCCAGAAGATCTCACTTTACATCCTCATTTACCTTGTTTGATTAAAGTTCAGTTTGTGTTTATCAAAAACATTTGAATCATCTGATGGCTTCATATCGTATTAACAGATTTTCTATGTATGTATGATCCATTCCGATGAGAATAAATAAATATGTTACTTTCTTTCGTAAATGCACAACTTCAGAACTTCGTATAACAAGAATCCTTGGTGAAATTTGAAGGAGTTAGGGTACTAGTTTAAAACCACTAAATACAACGATTGGCCAGTCGGAAATCGCTAGTGATAAATGCGCGTGATTAGCGAAAGAATGGCTTTATTTTACAATGGACAAGGTATAAGCTATTGAATGGCCTATCTTTCTTAGGGATATATATATACGATATTGAATGAGTTAAAAATGTAATTTTGCCTATATCCCTTTATATCAATCAAGCGTACAGTTGCTTCTTGATTCGATTATTTAATACACATATACATCCTGACACAATTATTGGACAACGAAAACAATAAGTATCACACAAATAAAACGATAACATTTTAAAGAAGAAGAAAATAAGCAACGAAAGGTAAAGGGATACAAACACAAAACTGAGCAACGATAATTAATAATGAAAGAAGAAAGGAAAATAAAAAGTCCAACCAAGGAAACTTTATCTTCTGGTTAAGCGTCTTCTTTTTTAATTTTATAAAGAATATGCCTGGTTCGAATGAAAGTCAAAAGTTTTTCATTTATCTCTACTGTACTGTTTTGTTAGTAAAACACAAATAGATTTAATTATTATTTGAATTGAGATAAGCTTCTCATTCACTTTGTTTGATCTTAGTTTAAATAATGTTAGATGTATTCATGTTATAACTTGTGGCCTGTGTGCCATGTTAATGTATAACACCGCCAATTAGAGAGCAGTGAATTATCGATCGGACTAATGACGCCTAAAACCCGTGCAAGCAGTCTAGAGTCCTTCTCGGTTCTGCTTCGTGTCTAGCCCAGCCAGTTCGATCTAGAACATCAATCTCAGCCTCTGCAATATGAATCATTTATCTCAAACGTACGGGGTTTATATACCAACTAGACAGACCACATCGTACCAATAAAATAGGAAACAACATTTGTACAAGATTTAGCCAAATGTGGCTGTGAATAAGGGAGATAGTAATTGATAGACAGGGCATAACTCAAGAATGATAAATCGTATAATAATAGTCTATAGGTCAAATGAAAGCTTATAATAAGAGCAACATGAATAAGCGTAGTTTAATTACTTAACAATTATACGATAAAAATATAAGTTTACTATTGCTCTATAAATGGATTCCAAAAGTTACCATTCATTATTCTTATCGGGATATAATAATTCAACATAGAAAAGTTATACAATGGAAGGCTTCTCTTTAAGAAAATAGCATTTGTTGTATATCACAATAGCGATTATTGTATTCATTATTGAATATATGTGTTTGACTAACAAATAAGTGCTTTCATTATCAATGAATAAAATCTGTACTGTTTTAATAGCCTGAGATCTGATTCCAGTTAGATCTTATGTTGTTGATCACTTCTGATTACTATTGAGATGATATACATATCGGCTATTCTCGTATGTAACTATTGAATAACGGAATAAAATAAGTCAAATACGAGAATGGATTTTTGAATGTGTATATTCTGTACACTCGTTGATTGGAACAAATAATCAGAGAAATGAAGCGAAATGAAATGATGTACAATGAAGACATATTGTAGTGAACAGAACACGGGTAGAGACAATCGAATGTATTTGGCACAAAATTACAGAGTTACTCGGTAAAATAGAAAAACACTGTAGTAAATCGTTAGTTTGCAAAATATCAAACCGGACTGCTGCTGTTGCAATCATCAATCCATTGTCTCACATTTCATTGTTCATGCGTTTTCTTACGAATTGTATTGCGTTCCCGCTCTTCCTTTCTTGATCTCCCCCCATCTTCTGCCACACATTACGTTCTTTAACTCGCATCATATACTACTTATATCAATAAAAGTAGCACACACCACAATATGGGCCAACTCTTATTTAATCAAGCGTTAATCAATATTTATTTAGTCAGATACAAATAAGTTACAGACATGTGATGAGTAAGATAAGAAATACACACATACACCTACATAAGCGAATAATAAACAAGGTCAAGACGTGAATTCAGAACAATGAATAAATTGCCCTGTCCAGAAGCTAGAATAATCTATGTGGAGTTAATCTAGTAACCGATACTACATTGTTATATTTACTAAGGAGAAGAGATGTATTCTTACTGATAAATTGAACCACGTACTAATGATGGATTTGGTCCATGAACAAATAAAGGATTTGGACCATGTGGAATTATACGTGAACCGAGTAATTTAGGATTTGGACCAATAGGTTGATAACGATGTAATTTTTCAGTTGAGCAAAGAATTAAACCCATGGTTTTGTCTGGATATATAGATGATCCATTATTCTAAAAAAGAATACAATTAATTAAAATTAAAAAAACTGACAATAAAACTTAGTAAATATGAATCTTATAGTTCATATGAAGGACTGATCTTAGTTAGACAATCATTAAAAATAAGGAAACATTGGACAACTGTTTCTGTAGTGTGTGCTACTGATGTCAACAGATATAAGTAGTATGTGTTCAAATAAATTCGAATGTCCCCATTTGTATTCTCATTCACTACATTTGTTGTCGCTGCCAACCAGGATGAGAGAAAGGGTGCTGTTCTGTGTATGCCGTTGTGGACCTGGACCTGAGGTGCTGGTTGGAATAGTCTGGTGAGTAGGAAGGATTTGAATGTGACCGACTTGGTCTCGTGTGTTGTTACGGGTATGAGGGCTGATATCACTTCCCGGCTGCCCACACAGTGAAAGGGTATTTCTTGAGGGACCTGAGAAGGAAGTTGGATTAATGCTGGTCTTAACGACCTGGGAGCGTGACCGCAGAGCCCAAGGGACGACTGCTTGAGGCGGATCGCGCACGACCTTTTTGTGGAAGGTTTTTAACGTCCTAGCTCCGTTCTTCAAAGGGCCTTACCGCCGGAGACGGAAATCTGTGAGGTAAGGTGAGGCGTGAAATTTCTAGGGTCGACTTTTTTTAATCACTTCCTTCCTTGTGAGAAGGCAGCATCGCTGCAGATGCTGGTTGTCCGAAGGAAGCGTCTTACTGTTGTCACACCCATCTACAGTCAACATTACGACTTCGCCCTCAGACCAAGAGTTGCTACTTTTAGTCTTACAGTTCTACAATCGACCTGCCTGCCATGGTAGAACCTACAGGAACATATGTTCCAGCCAATATAGCTTGGTTGGGTCATCACGATAGGCAAGCCCGACCACCACGTCAAGGCAGCAGTTACGGTCGGGAAGGGAGGCTAACGTGAAGGGAGTTAACGTCGATTGGAGCGTTCTAGCGGGGTGGTATTGGCTGTAACAGGTGTTGCCGATAGAGAGGAGCGATGAGACATGCGACTGCTGGGCGGACATCGGATGCAGATGGCTCAGCAGGTCGCTGGAGTGCATCTGTTGAACGGACCGGGTGCTGGGTCTACGTAGGACTTTGACGTCCCGACAGGTCGACGGAGCTATGGAGGTCAACGCGCTTGGGACTCGATATTTCAACGGAGAGAGTGGTACATACTGTAGAAAAGAAGGTGGTACGGCGAAGAGAACCCATGTAAACTACATAACTGCAGATTTTGTACACTAAAAAGATTCGATAGCTTATTCGGTAAAGTTTTCTATACATGAACTAACCTTGAAAATAAAGGTTTTGGCATGCTTTCGTATTCTATTCAAGTTTCAAGAATAAAAGAGCTCTAAGGACTAAGGAGTTTTTTTTCAATTTACTGTTATCTTATGCAATAGACTCAGGTATTTATGAATTATACAAAAATATAAGAAAATTCATGAACAAATTCCACTTAGATCATAGTATATAATCTGTGTTGATACAATATATATCTCATCTGTATTCTGTTATTTATTATAATCGGTCGGAAAAATTTGCTTGGGATGACTTGAACAAGCGCAGTTTTCATTACAGTTTCATAATCTAGCCATCTTGTCTATCCAAAAACGTCTCCTCTAGAAATTCTTATGTAGACTTGTTATGTAGTTAGGATTAGTGGTGATCTTTTAGACGATTAAACTAATAATATAAGTGTTTATTAACAACTGTCTACGCAAAATACTTCAGATCCGTTGGCCGGACACTATTAGCAACAACCTACTGTGGGAAAGAACAAACCAGATCCCAGCGGAGGAAGAAATCAGGAAGAAGCACTGCAAGGGGATAGGACACACATTGAGGAAAGCACCCAACTGCGTCACAAGGAAACCCTCATTTAGAATTATCAAAGCCAAAAGAGAAGAGGAAGACCAAAGAACACATTACGCCGAGAAATGGAGACAGACATGAGAAGAATGAACAAAAATTGGATAGAACAAGAAAGGAAGGCTCAGGACAGAGTAGGTTGGAGAATGCTGGTCGGCAGCCTATGCTCCATTGGGAGTAACAGGCCTAAGTAAGTAAGTAAACTAATATCTGATAATAATTAACAATCCTATGACTAATTATGGGGTCCTAAACTTAAATTTGAGCAACATTGTGAAACATGAATTAAGTCAGTGATAATCAAGGTAGAGTATGACAAAAATGAGCGTTAACACAAGTTATCGTAGCACATTAGCAAGATAAGATAAATAGCAAATACGTGGGAATATGATTGTCGTAACAAACACAGTAAAAAAAATGATAAAATACAGAGAATGTGGTTCAAGAAGACGAAACAAAAAGGTGTATATGAAGAGAAATTGGAATACATTTCCACTATTGTGACCAATTCTAGGCCATATCATCCAACGTGAAGAACCACTGATCGCAGGTAGTCTGTAACAACTAACAAGGCTCAAATCAACAGTCAATGCCTTCATGGTTTGTGAAGTATATTACAACGTTTTTTTTAAACCAAAGTAGGAAAGGCAATGGTCATATTCACGATTAGGTGGTTAAAAGTTGAATCTTTCAATAACACACTAAGTCCAAAGGCTACGCAAAAAAACTAGTGTAGTCTAAACTAATAGTTTGATACTTACTTGAATTTATCGCAGTCATCTCAGATGGTGTACCATCAAAAATCAGAAAGGAGCATACACATATTTTGGTTTAGTATGAGCCTCCCCAGAAGTACGCACCTACGATCTTGCTAGGGATATAACTCAGGACTTTCAGGTTTTAGGACGAACGCTCAAACATTCAAATCGGAGTCCAACAGTACACTACCAACACGACAATCATCCTTAATGTATATTTTCCTGCATCGAGATGTATAAATTAATCCATTGATATGATCGAGGAAAGGAAGCGTCCACTCTCACTCTCCAAATGTTCTCACATGGTCATGCGTATACATCCACCGACAGAGAAGTCCTATTGATTGCTTTCTCGCAGCATTACGGTTGTTCACAAGATTTAGAGGACGAAAAGTGAATTTCCAGAGCTTCAACTGGGTTGGTGAATACGGAGAGTCCACCTAGAGAGTTGGAAAACCCTGATTCCAAACTAACAGTGCACATGTGACCCAGCATCCTGAGGGAACAAATGACGTATGAATCTACTATTGGTCACCTTTAGGTCGTAGGCTCCAGGTGTGGTACCCTAAGAAAACCACCTGCTCGGCTTGAGCACCCGAGTAGTAACACAGCCCACACACAAATCAAGTAGCTTGTGTGGCGCATATGTATTCGGTGCCCCCTTGTACCAACATTTGTGTTCAAATAAATAATAAATAAGGTAGTTATGTGATAAACATTACATAACACTCACCAATGACTGCCTTTCAACCGATATTTCTGCAGTATTAATCTTTTGCAATGGATTATTTTCAGTGAGAATAATGGTATTGGAAGTAAGAGTTGTAGTAGTAACAGCAGTATCAAGATGTTTTTCTAGCGACAACCTGCTAGAATTATTAAAGGTTGAATAGAAAGAATGTGAAAACAACACATGAAACCAAATAAAAGATCAAGAAGAGAATAGAAAGATTTTCAGGAAAAACAAACGGTTTTTTTGCCGACTATATTCTAACACATGATGTTGAGTTAATTAGAACTGGTGGGCACATCACAACGTGATTGATAGAATTCAATCAGTACTCTAAAGGAATAGACAAACATGAAACTGGCTACCAATAAAAAAACAATCAATCTACTAGACTGAAATGAATGCAAATCATAGGCATTATTCGTCAGGTTCACTTGGTGTCGTTTGCTTGTATTTTTCGATTGTTGTTTAGAACTGCAACTGATTACTCTCTTTTATTGGCATATGTGCATCCTATGCAGACTGCCTCGATATTACCTCAATTCACAAGCATTAAAAGCAAAGATTTATAATGACTAGCATCTATTATCTTACTAAAAGGTATGCCATTTTCATTAAAAATTCTCATAATAACAACAAAAAACAGTGTGATGTAGCGTATAGGTAGGATTCGTTTAGAATATTTAATGTTAAAAGAATTTACTCTGTGTTGATGTTAAAGTCTGCCGTTAAGCGGTAGCTAACTAGTTTAATTCACCTTTAGGCCACTAATTCGCGGATTCGAACCCGCTCCAGCTACTTCAGTCCAAGAAATCGAGTAGCATTACTCTAGTTCTCAGAAATAGAGTATGGCCTGAAGTGAAATACATGAATTTATACCTGTTAAGTTAGTTAATAGCTTATGCTCAGCAAAACGGTGCCATGATGAAGAACTTTTGAACCACTATTTAAATTTGGTCTTTCTTACTGGTTATTTCAATTTCATTACCTTTTCCAATGAATTATCTTGTTTTTGTAGAGATTCTTGGATGTGTATTTTTCATTGTGGATGAGTGACTTTAGATAGGAAACTATCTGTCCAGTGTTCGTTTTCTCATGTTTTAATAATTTAGAGACTGATTCCATTCCATCGTGAAAATACCCTATTTATTTAAACACATAAAAATGGGCCAAGGATGCATCAACGAGATATGCGCCACATAAATCATCGATTTATATGAGGGCTGGAATACTGCCAGGGTGCTCAAACCGAAGAACGTGGTTTTCTTAAGGGGCCACACTCCGAGCCGTCAACCTGGAGGTCTGATCCACAAGGCAGTGGGGCGATGTCAGGAGATGCAGTCACATGGTAGCAGGTGACCAACAATTGGTTCATACGCCAATTTTTCCTCAGGATACTGGAGCCCATGTGCACCATTTTGTTTTGGAATCAGGATTTTTCAAACCTCCCCCCAGATGGATCCTCTATAACCACTAACCCGGTTAAAGCGCCTGACATTCGCTTTTCGTCCTCTCAATTTCGTAAAGAACAGTAGTGCCACGAGAAGTCGGTGAGTGGGACTTCCCTGACAGTGGTTGTATGCACGTGACCACTTGAGAGCATTTCGAAAGGAAGGGTGAACTCTTCCCACTCTCGGTCGTACCAGAGCATTTGGTGGTATTTTTACTACTCAGTGATTGATTAATGCAAATTAGTTTGACTAAAATTATAAATAAGTTATTGAAGAATTCTCGTAGGGAAGTGGTGTCAGTTACTTACTTAGTTTGAAGTGATTCTTTATTATTTTGTGTGGATTCCGATGTGTCCCCTTTTTTAGTTGATTCCGTAGCAAAAACATTATCATCAACATTGTGATCATCATTATCTGTTGGTGTTTTTGGTAATAATGAATCATACTTAGATTTTTTATTAGTTTTCGGTGAAAAATAAATTGATGAATGATATGATTCACTATCATTTTGTGAACAAACACTTGATTTTGATTCACGATTACGATGTGTTGAAGTAGTTCTTCCTTTGGAATAAGTATCTTTTCGTGATGAACTTTCTCCATTTGATTCAATTCGACTACGATGAGTTTTTGTAGCGGGACCATCTTTACTAGGATCATCTAAAATCAAAATAACAAAATATGGTAGGATGAATACTAATTCAAATTTTTAAATTGGACTGTTAAAATAGTGATACTAAGTTTGAAAAAGTGGTTCTTGCCATGGAGAAAAAAAGGTGAAAATCACGAAGCGCTAGATATTTTCTTCTTTCAGGCTCGGCACTCATCAACAATATGCACCTACGATAACACACAGACTTAATACTTGTGATTTAAAGGATCTATACCTAATGCCAGATTTAAAGGTCCTGGCCTTTACACAAAACAATTTTTATACAGATTGTGTTTTCAGTAACATTAATCATCGGATTGTTTGTTCAAACTTTACTTATTTTGATTTGGTCAACTGGATAGTAGTATCACCATCCTTTGTACAAATAATGTGGTTTAAAATCGAATACATTAAGTTAATTACATTAGTTAGTGGGACATCGGAGTATGTTGTTTTAATCTTGAAAAGATCAACAACAAAAATGCTACCCAGTTACTAAGTTGAAAGTACATATATATGATGAAATGCATGCTGAAAGAGAAACAATAGTTTGTTTAAAAAGTAAACATGTAGTAACAGAAGTATAACCTAAAATCCCGTTATTAACGTCTAGACACAATGTTATTGTTATAAATGACCGCAAAACTAAATATGCATCACAAAACAAAATGAGGTCGTGAAGAGATAGAGGGAGGAGTGAAGAAAGAATCAAATAGATGTCATCTCGCGCTCGGGTGTGGCTCCCTAAAAAACCCATCTACTTTGGTTTGGGCACCATGGCAATATCACAGCCCGCACACAAATCAAGTGACTTGTGTAATGCATATGTATTCGGTGCCCCTTTGCACCAATATTTATATGTTCAAATAAATAAATAAATAAAATAAAATGATCAAGTTTCAGTGTAACTAGGGTATCTAAAAAATCTTAAACAATTATACAGTGTATATTTGTTTACAGTGGTTTTGTAAATGATACTTATCAGTTTATCATAGAATCAACCTTAGAATTAACGAAATTTTCATAAAGCACGTATGTGAGACTAACCATCAAATACCATTACCAAGTCTTATCATAAAAAACGATAGCATAAATGCAGTTAAGCAGTTTCAAGTATCCGATCATACAACCAATTCACCAAAACAGTAGAGGAAGAACCTTAATTTAGTAGTAATTTCAGGTAATTTTCGATTACAACGATATGTTTACATAAACTCCTAAATTATTTTGCATACCGACAAATTTGCATACAGCCAATAGTTCACTAGGACTGGGATATGAGTGGTTATTTATACATAAACAAGTATTTTATCACTTCCCCCCTCAAATGCCCTGGTACGACGGGGAGTGGAGAAAGTCAGCTCTCCCTTTCCAAATGCTTTCACATGGCCACGTGCATACAACCACTGACAGTGAAGTCCTACTCACTGCCTTCTCGTAGCATTACTGTTCTTTACGAAATTGAGAGGCCGAAAAGCAAATGTTCGGCGCGCTAACCGGGTTGGTAAACACGGAAAGTTCACCTGAGAGAGTTGGAAAGCCCTGATTTTAAACCAATAGTGCACATGGGCTCAAGGATCCTGAGGGAACAAATGGCGTATTAACCAATCGTTGGTCACCAGCTACCATGGGACTGCATCTCCTGACGTCGCTCCACTGTCTTGTGGATCAGACCTTTAGGTTAAAGGCTCCAGGCGTGGCCCCTCAAAGGACCACGTTCTTCGGCTTGTGTACCCCGGTATCATCACAGCCCTTGCATCAATCGAATGATTTGTGTTGGCATATCTATTTGGTGCTTCGTTGTGTCGATGTTCATGTGTTTAAATAAATAAATATTATCCTCTTCTCAACTTTGAAAAAAGCTATTACTGGTAAAAACTATTGTGAAAATGTAAGCAATAACAAATAGCTGAAAAATAGCACTTACCGCATGGTTTAGGGTTAACAGATTTTGAATTTTTATGTGACCTATGAGTAAAATAATATTTTTTAAAAATTAAATGAACTGAATTTCTGGAGAAATACGTATATGTATATATATAACTCGTTCACGAATAACAGGTGTCAGCGGAACATAAATTGAATTGAAGCATGTTCCATGCAGTAATGTGTTAGGGTACGCTAATTAGCTATTTCTTAACCAATCAGCGCTAGTGGATACTTGAAGAAGACTCTACAATCTCGTGTAAAAACTATGAGTATACTAACATGTTCCTGTTGTGATTCCTACTTCCATCCAACCTTTTTATTTGGAATGTAATTATGTTCCTGTTCAACCGTGTTCTGATTTAGGGACTTGTCGAGTGAAGCAGTGTTCAAGAATGCTAGACGATAGTAGCTTGGTCGTAATAAAAGAAATCATAACAACAGGCTTATGTAGACAAATTAGAATTGCTAACGATTAGTTGCCAGCTACTGAGATGAAATTAGGATCTACGAACTATTAGTTGAAAAGCAAATGGTCTGATAACCAACCAAACGATAAAAAGGACAAGTTCTAACAATATTGACTAGATAAACATCCATAACAATTGACCATCTTCTTTTATCTGAAAGTGTTACGATGAATTATAGTCAATCAAAAATAAATAGTCGATACAACTTATAAAAACATTCCAAAATATAAAGTAATAATTATATGAATCAACTTTACTTAGAAGAAATTTCAGTTATGTCGAAAAATTCACCAATTAAATCTTGTCGATCACCAAAACCCATTCGATAAGTATTCTAAAGTATACTTACAATAATGAAATCATACTAAAAGGTCTAATTGTTGAGCAGAATAATATGCAGGTCGTGGATCATCCCAACTAGTAGTCTTATCCTCATGATTAATATAATACCTAGATTAAATGGTTATTGACAAAAAATATTATACAATATACAACAAACCAGTGACCGGATTCTGAGTCGAGTCGAGACTCCCAGTTAGGAGGTAACGGCATGTCTGAATAATCAGATAACATTATTTATTCTGAGATATTATTCAATCTGAAAGTTAAATATGAGAAAAGAAGTATATAAGTATAAACGAAAACTAATTAAGTGGAAGTATTTAAAGGTTATTTCCAGGTATTTGAGAACAATTAAAGAAAACCAATACTTCCAAGCTTGATGTCCTAATAAATAGCTATTCCACCTCAAAAAGGGATATATCCTTTTAAAAACAGGTCTCAGTACAAATGTTTTCAGAAAAATTAGACTAATAATATCAGAGTACGTTGTGTTATGTGCTTGTAAAACTCAATTAATCTCCGAAGAATAAACCCTTCGAATAACTTATCATTTTAAAACGTTATCCCAGATACATATGACATTAGATCGCCTACCTCCAACAAAACATAGTACAGAAAAACATTGTGTTCCACTCTTCCAGAGTTTACTTAGGCTGATCAAAGATAAATAATGGCAAACGTGTATAGTTTTTTTGGTCATTAGTATGTTTTAAGAAATACTACACTGATGTCAGTCCACTATATGAGTTATCATGTAAATGATGTATCTACAAAGTTCAAGAATGAAGTGAATAAGTTTTTTTTGTGAATGGCTAGTAAAAGCATAGATTAAAATATTAAATTGAGGAAAGTAGAAATGGTAAGAGTGGCATAATTAGCAATCAAATCAAGACAGAGTTGACATGCTGAGTTGATTGGTCCCAGTCTGAGTCTTGCTTGGTTACATATACATATAAATTGCAATTGAGAGAATCGTTACCATGTTTACAGGCATACCTACCCTGAGCTTTAAGTGTATGGTATCGAATGTGATGGTCACATGGTACTATCAAATTTAAAAAATTGGCCACTTATTAAAACTATACCGTTATACGTTTAATGACCCCTTTCCTCATACAATTTGCAAGTGATCCACAAGATAACAAATAACCGAAGTTTAATAAACATACTCTATGTGAATGCACGATCACATGAGTTCCACGTATGAAGGCTTCAGCTAGTTTCAGAAGTAAAGTATATGAGCGAATCGATCGGACTTCAACTCAATCAATCCATCGACTATAGTTCATATCCTAATGCAATAAAAATCGTGTTATCTTATGCACAAATGTTCATATTCCATGTTGAATTTGTTAAGCAAGGATAATATAGTTATGTTTTTTAATGTGAATCATTTCAGTATTCGCGACGCAACATTGTTTCTTTGACGGCCAAAGGTAGCCCATATACTTTACTTACAACGAAGTTGATAATTCAGGGTTTGTAGTGTGTTACATGGAGATGCTTACAATACTCACGGCAAATAGTCAGAGATAAGCTACGCAGCTAGAGTACGTAACCTTGAAGTAGCAAGCATTAGAAACTCCCACCCACTTTCGGTGAGTGAACATCCAATATCTTTAAAATTGTATTGTATGAGTCAGACGCACTTAATTCTTCTTATTTCAGTACAGATCCTATTCTCGTGTTAAGGAATTTAAATTTTCTAAATAAAATTACGAAATTAGGTCCTTTCAAAAATGAGTTCCGTGGATCTAACTTCCCCAACACACCTCACCTTTTTAGTACTTTCCTGAGGTCGACTTGCATCTTGACTGTTGTTCGCCGCTGTCGGAAAAGCCACCTTCTGAAACGGAGACCAGCTTGTTGTTATGCTTTTTGTCGTGGAGGGGCTTCCCGTAAGTTGGTTGTGTCAAGCAGGATGTCAAATGGAAGATTCGCTCCTTTTGATTGGTGGTCTGGGTCTAACCGCTTGTGTAGTTGATTCCGATGTCGAGTCCACCTGTCTCTTCCTACCTCTACCTCGCACATGACACGGCCTTTGCTCCTGGCCACTCGCGCTTCTGTCCATGGACCATAGTCACGGGCAAACACTGAAAATCCCACTTCGTGCGTGGATTGCTTTTCAGATTTTGTCTCTACTGGTGTTGATGCATTACTCGGATGCATTGGGCCGTAGATCGTTTTTATTTTTCTTCCCATCAGGATTTCTGCTAGGGACTTTTGCTCCGAAACCGTCTCATTCGGTGTCGTTCGATAAACGGACAAGAAACTATTGAACTGGTCGACTGGTGTTCTCTCTCCTTTTCACTTAACCAATGCTCTTCTAAACGTATCCACAAGCCTTTATGTTTGCCCATTTGACTGCGTGTGACATGGTGGCGAACGTATGTCTTGATAGCTAGCCTTTGAAAAAAAGCTTGGAATTGGTTAGAGGTAAATTGCAACCCGTTGTCAGATACAATCACATCTGATATGCCATTTAGGGAGAAAGCTTCAGTGAGGAGCTGTATTGGTTTAGTTGTCGTGGGCAGCATTACAAGACTGATTTCTGGCCATTTTGAAAAGGTATCGACCACAACTAAAGTCGTAGTTCCATTAATTGTGCTCGCGAAGTCGTTGTGTATCCTGGACCAAGGATGGTCAGGTTGTGACCATGAAACTGGCGGGACTTTGACATTAACCTCTGCCGCTTGCTGACTTGGAATGCATTTTCCAACCAACTCGGTGATATGTCGATCAATTGGGAGCCAGTATGTAAAAAACTCCTGGCCATGAATTTCATTCGTCTAACCACCGAATTAACAAGGTGGAACTGTTTCAGCACTTTTGCGCGAAAGGGTTCCGACCCAACCACTTTTTCTCCAAACATCAAGCAGTCATTTATGATGCATAGTGAATCCCACCACTGATACATCTGTTTCATGCCACCATCAAACTTCTTCGGCGGCCGACCGTTGATGAAATAGCTCATCGCCATCTTGATGACGGGGAAGCGCTTCTTATATCTGTTGCAGACACCAGGAATGCTCGTACTGAGGGTGTCGGATAACATACCGCTGACGGAGATGCGATTACCATATTTTCCTGAGCCGCCAATTGATCATTATTGAGTCGTGACAAAGCATCTTCCTGACCGAATTGTTGAGTGCGAAAGTACTCGATCTCGAAAACATAACTCAAGAGTACCAAATCCTATCGCTGAAGAAGATTTGCAGAATGGGCTGGAACGCCAGATTTCGACCCGAATATTGCGAGCAGAGGCTTGTGATCCGTGAGAAGCGTAAATCTCCTACCGTTCAAAATCTTGTGGAAACTTGGAACAGCAAACACAAGTGTAAGACCCTCTTTTTTTATCTGACTATATTTCTTTTCTGTCGGGGTTAGTGTACGACATGCATGCAGAACAGCTTTTTCTGACGCGTCTGGAAACTGATGTGAAATAACGGCACCTAGGCCATACGCTGAAGCGTCTGCAGCTAAGATGATTGGCATGGATGGATCGTAGTGCGTGAACAACAATTCCGAGCTAAGTATGGAATTGGGTTTACAAAACGCCGCATCACAGTATTTAGTCCAGTTCCAGACGCTGTCCTTCTTCAGCAGACGATTCAATGGATCGCGAATATCATGCATCAAATGAAGGAACGCTGCATCATAGTTAACAATTCCCATGAAGGAACGTAGTGCCGAGACATTAGTGGGGTTGAGCATCAGTTTGATGGCTCGAATGTGGCCGCCGACATCTAAACTAAACCCCAGATACTTGACTGACTGCAATAAACCTGGTATTTCTCTGGGCGTGGGCGGAAACCGTTGTCACTGATGCGCCGAAGTATCAATGTCGTGCGTTCCTGTAGCTGTTCTAAAGTCGTCGCAACAGTCAAAATGACATTATGATAAACCGTGACCCTCGAGATACCTGATAGGACGGTGTAGTGTCAGTTACTATGTTAAGCCCATATAACTTATTCTAGCTTTCGGACATCGCATTCTATTCATTCTACTTGAGTCATATTTTGACCTTGTCAATTATTCGCTTATCAGTCTTGATTGTTTTTATATGAGCGTATATGTGTGTACACTTCATATCCCATGACTCATCACATGTCTGTAATTTATTTTGTCTGTCTATAAATATTGAGTAACGCTAGACTAAAAATGAGTTGGCTTACCAGCCATCTCCACTGCACATCATTTTTACTTGGCTTCATTGTGTGCTTCCTTGCTGTACGCTTGCGGATTTTTATTAATCATTACCAATAAATTATCTCTACAACTGGTGTTCAGGCTTCTGAATAATCTCGAGTACACCCGTAATTCCACTAGAAGATTAAGACTCAGTTTACGGGATATTATTCATTGGAGTCAGATATTGAGGACATTATCCTCAACAACGGTATCCATTAGTTGCTGAAAGATAGATGTGACAGTTCTCACTCCAAAAGGTAGACGGTTATATTGAAACAACCCACGATGAGTACTGTTAGTAAGCAGCTCTCTTGGTGCTCCATCTACTACTGGCCAGCAAACATGAAGGTGGGGATATAACTTCAATCCACCCATGTCTGTAGGGCAGAACATTTTGTTTAATTACGGCTCCTTATGGTTTAGTGGGATGCCACGAACTTATGGTGTTGAAGCTGATCTATTCACGCAAAATACCTCTTTAAGTCGTGTTACGAACGTTGAATTGGTTTCACTTCCTACACAGAAATCCTATTACAAGCAAACTAGACAATTCGCTAATATACGAAGCCTAATCAAGACCCTATAATAACTGGGGGAAAAATATTTTAAAAAACGAAAGGGGCTCTAATAGCTTCGATAATAAAGGGAAGACAGCCAAATGTATATCACAATACTGTTTCTAGCACTATATTTCATTTTATAATCACACATAATCTTATACTCTCAGCTCTTTTCCGAATCGCCCCCATTTGTCAGTTGTATGTCCACTCACACCTTGTCAACACTTATTTTCTTTAACCTATTAAAATGCTCTTTTTTTAACATATACCTTAATAAAGGAAAATTAGACTGAGTAATCATACCTTAAACATTCCTTCATGAATATTGGCTACTCTGCCTCTCGTCCTTTCTTTTACTTGCTCCCTCTTTCAGCCCCCTTGAGATATGGAACTGGTGACTTCATCCTGCACCATCATTAAATCCTTGGATATCCCAGAAGGAAATAAGGTTGCGATTTCTAAAAGCTCATACCTTCAATGGACCTATCCTTGACCATCAGTCGCACATTCGCAACGCAACTTTCATGAAGCGCGCCAACTGTGGTACTGACTCAAACCATCTACATTCATATCTTATAAATTATCAACCCAGTTATGTAATTTATTACAGTGTATATTGTATCATTTGTATCAATTTGATCTTGCCTGTAAACTTGCATGCCTCATGTAACAAACTGTTATTTGAGAATAAATTATTATTATTATTACTTGCAAGTAAGCATCAGCTAGGTTCAGTTTTACGAAAAACTTTCCTTCATTCAGCATAGTAAACGGATCTGTAGGAACTGGCATAGGGTTATAATGCTCTTCCAGAGGTTTAGTGAGGCCTGTAGAAAAGTCAGCACATATACGTATTGTGCCGTTGGCCTTCTTGATAACAACTATAGGTGCTGCCCATGTAGTGTAAGAAACGAGCGCAAAAACTCTTTGTAGCTGAAGGCGAATAAGTTCTTCGTCAACTTTCGATAATCCTGCGTACGGCACTGGTGTCTTTGTGCAGAAAAAAGGTTGGCTCTAGGTTTCAAGCGAAATATTGCTTTCACGGATGTACATTGACAAAATACAGGCTGGAAAGTTGTTGAAAACTCCGTCGTTAGTTCTTTTGAGTATGCCTCAGGTTCATGAGATTGTTTCACCAGATGGCATACGGTGCTTAACGGAACAACAGCTAAATGTAGCCCGTCAAACCAATCTAAACCAAATACATTAAAATCAGCTGGTGTGATGTAACATACCCAGGTAAACGTGGAATCGTGAAAAGACACTTTAAAATATAGTTGCTGCAACAAATGTAGGCAATTACTGCATGCAGTACGAGGTCTTTGTGTTGTTGGCGCTGTGCCTGGCCTTCCCATTCTGATTAATTATTGTCGTAAGTGAATTGTTACGTCAGATGCTGCTTCTTAACGGGCGCCCATTAATATTAAGGGTAATAAAAATTTCCTCTCACATACGGTTGAGTTCTGACAGCTTGTTACTAGACTCAACGAGTTCATGGTGGATCTAGGCGTAGACTTTCTGGTACCTCTGGAGCTGCTCGCCTTCGTTTTTTGACAAAAATCATCTTTGTGACCCGCCACATTACATTTCCTTCCCCAATGTTGTTTATATGGACTACTTCGAACAAAATGACATGCACCGCAGTGCCAGCATGGGGCAGGAGGGTTTTTTTCTCTATTGACCTGAACTACATGTAGCTGGGGCAGATTTATGCGAGTTGAGTGGTTGTTGAACTACATGAACTTCGATACGACCTTGCTGCCGCGAACTTTGAAAGTGGTAACTTTTTTTCACGTGGTTTAGGAATTCTTCGACTTGCTCTTTTGTAGGGTGTATTATACTGTGATTATCATCTTATCCTGTACATCGGGTACATCTTACTGCGAAAAACAGGGAAAAAACTTATTTTTATTCGACAGACAATTACTAGTTCGTATTGTACCTATTGCGGACTTAAATCAATAATAGATCTGCAATTTATTGTATACTCATAGTCTCTAATCCTAGTATTAACCAGTTTAATACTTAATAACAACTAATACTTAGATATTACATTTAATTTAACGAGCACTGTGCTCACTTATCTTCATATCATGTCCAATAACTCCATTAAAAGACGAATTTCACCAACTTCTAAGCCAAATAAAAGGTCCAAATCTGTAACCCCTACAACTGACGACTCAGTGCTTGACAATGTCGAACCTTTAACTACTGAAAAATATGTGTATTGTACACAAATGTCCCTATCGTCACCAGATTCTCCCTGTCGCAGCCCCTCTATCTCTACGTGCGGTATGCCAACGGTAAGACTGGTTGACATACAAGACACTATACCTACGTGCATCGAAAAGTCAGCACAGTCTACTAGACAGTATGTGCTACCAAGGCCTAAGTCTAAAATTTCAAAAACTAAAGAGTCCAATGATCCACCTCATACACACCAAAATACTGGTAGATATAGTAATGAAATCCGACAGCTGCAAAACTCTCTATCCGAAATTAACGGCAAACTTGAGAAATTAGCACCCCTCACTCATATATGGGGCCTTGACACAGACAGAAATCTTGAGCAACTCACTAAAGCTGAGTGTATTTTGGAGTTTGTGGCTGAAGAAGTGACGAAGAGAGTGATGTCCTCCTTCAATGCAGTTGTGTATAACCTTCCCGACCGCACACACCCATCTAAGCTAAGAGATATTTGCCTTAGAGCATGCGGTATGCCGAACGTTAACTGCAAAGTCATCCGCCTTAGAAAAAAGTCAGACAGATCGACTTGCCCCATTTTGTTTATGTTTGGCTGTTGTAACGATGCTAAGCAGTTTATTAATTCGAGCAAAAATATTAGCTCACTAATTCCATACAAAAATATAAAAGTCACTCCAGACCTTACGCCCTGTCAACGTCGTGTAAGAAGACGCGAAGCGATAGAATTGAATGGGAGTGTTACAGTTAATAATCAGTCTGAGACAGTTTGCAACACAGCAAATAGTTTAGAACACACGAACAATAAGCATGACACCACTCCACATACGGCTGATCAGTCTTCAGTAATAAGGATAGTAGGTTGATGAACCTGTGTTAATCCTGACACATTGCTTTCCAGTGAAGGTCCAGATTTTCCTTGAAAGTATTCACTGATGGGGCTGATACCACTTGTTCGGGTAAGGCGTTCCAATCATTGACTACTCGATGAGAAAAACGGGATCCCACTTTAAGTTTATTAGATCGTGGTTTATGAACCTTCTTGCTATGACCTCGGAGATTATTATTGCTGGAGGGAGCAAAAAGATAAGACATATTAACGCCCAAATCATAATTAAAGATACGAAATGCCAGTATAAGGTCACCTCGTGTCCTACGATACGACAAGGGGAAAAGATTTAGGCGTTTTAAACGCTCATCGTAAGGGAGTCTAGAAAGACCCTTCACTAATTTCGTTCCCACACGCTGGACACGCTCAAGGGAGTTAGTATCCTTTACCAGACACGGGCTAGCTGCTTGGATACAGTACTCTAAAAGTGGTCTAACATATATGGGATATAAAATTCTAAACATTTCCTCGTCAAAAGATTTGAACGCTCGGCGAAGTGACCATAACGCACGAAAACCTTTGACAGCGGCTGCTTTGCAATGCTTAGTTGTTTTTAAATCATGACTTAATATTACTCCTAAGTCTTTATGCTCTTGAACGCATGGAAGAGGTTTACCCTCAATAGTGTAACGGTAACTATTACCGTGACCGATGTGCATTAGCACACTTTTCCTAGCATTGATTTCTAAGCCCCACTCTCGAGCCCATCTAACTAAATCGTCTAAGTCAGCTTGAAGATCCACATGATCAGCCGCACTTTTTATTGTTCTCCAGATTTTTACATCATCCGCAAACAATAATGTCGACGACCTAAGTAACAGCGGTAAATCATTAACGTAGAGAAGGAAGAGCAGAGGGCCTAAGATGGTGCCTTGGGGTACACCACTTTTGACCGGCTTCCAATCGGATAGCGTTCCGTTGACTCTAACTCTCTGTCTGCGGTCACATAAGAAATTTCCTATCCACTCATGTACAGTGCCTATTATTCCGAAGCTCGTGAGCTTCTGCATAAGACCTACGTGTGAAACCTTGTCAAACGCTTTGCTGAAATCTATGAATATCACGTCGACAGACAGACCGTTATCTAGGGCTGCTGTCCAATCCTCCCTCGCAATAAGCAAGTTAGTCAAGCATGAACGCTTGTTACGAAATCCGTGTTGCTCAGGAGCTAACAGATTGTGTAAATCTATGTGGCTTAGCAACCTAACCCGAATTATTTTTTCCAGTAACTTAACGACTATGCTAGTTAGACTGACAGGTCGGTAGTTAGATGCTATCTGTCGCTGACCGTCCTTAAATATAGGACTAACTATAGCGTCCTTCCAATCTCTAGGGAGTTGAGCGAGTGAGAGGGACATGTTGAAGAGTGTCGCAAGCGGTTTTGAAATAATGTCCGCAAGAGATGACAGCAACCGTGGATGTAACCCGTCAGGGCCCGGTATCTTACCAGGTTTGAGGTTAGTTATCAACGGAAGGACAGTTTCCTCAGTCACCTGTACAGATTCGATGGTTGGTATCTCGGTGTGAGTGGGACAAGTATTTGTTACAATAATCGTTGAGAAGACTTCGCTAAAGTAGTCTGAAAAAGTCTCAGCTTTTGCTCGATCTGATTCAGCTAGTAATTCTGAATTGTCGTGTAACAGTAACGGGGGAATACTATCACTACGTTTCATTTGCCGTTTAACATACGAAAACAATCGTTTCGGACAAGTACGGCTATCGTATACTAACTGTCGTTCGTAAGTGGTACGAGATTTGTCTATGGTTTTCTTACAGATATTACGGTATTTTTGGTACTCACGCTTAAATGGTGCATGACCTGTCAACAAGAATAAGTCCCAGAAATGTTTTCTACGCTTTAACAGCTTCCGGGTTTCCTTATTAATCCATGGAGGGCAATGTGATAGCTTACGTGCTGACCATGGGATAAACGGCGACGTTACGGACTCGAATGTAGCCTTGAACTTATTCCATTCATCTTCGATCAATCCATCCGCGTCGACCGACCAATCAGTCGAGATAGCACAGTTTCTGATTTCCGGAATATTGGCTCGCCAGATATTGGGACGGGGTGGAGCAGATACGAATTGTATACCATGTGTCCTAAACTTAAAGTGAATTACAACGTGATCACTGTTCACTAGTGGAGGAAGGTGCTGGATATCAAGGACATCCTCAGAGTGGTGGGTGAGGGCGAGGTCCAGCAGTGACGGAACATGTTGCAAATCAATATGTGTCGGTTTTATGATACATTGTACAAGTGCACACTGAATAACGGTAGATAAAAGGTCGCTATCGAAACCACTACCTGGAGCTGTAAGCTCTATCCAGTTGATATGCGGTGCGTTGAAGTCCCCAATGATGAGACAACATTCTGCCATACTCCAAGAACAGATGTGTCTTAGGATAAAGTCGTCAGCAAGACAAGACGGACTACGGTATATTACCCCTATAGTCACTAACCCATTTCTAGATTTAATCTTACAACATGCAACCTCACATGTGCCACTGATATGGTTGATTGTATACGAAAGTGATCCCTAACATATAATATTACACCTCCCCCTTTGCGACTAGAAACTCTATCACTTCTGATACAGATATAACCAGCAATGAAAGGAGGACAGTCTACATCAACGGTGAACCAAGTTTCTGTAACAACGATTATATCGGGACGTAATTCTTGTACCATCAGACTTAGCTCGGACGTTTTATTTCTAAGACTACGAGCGTTCGTGTAGCACACACTTAAGGTGTTTTGGCAATCAATCGTTCTACCCATACAGGCCTCGGAAGCATTGGCTTCCAAGACCTGACTACCCGAAAACCCTTAATGGTAAGGTTATTTTCGCCATTTAATTTACGAGTCCTCAACTCCGTAAGAGCATTCTTCCACTTGATTCGATCCTCAAGTGGCCAATCTGGTCGAATACGGATATTTGAGTCACGAGTTTTTAGTGCGCTTTTCAATAATATGTCTCTTTCATCAATACTTCCGAGAACCAGCTTCAGGATTCTTCTTGGTTGGGTCTCGCCTCCAACCCATTTACCAAGTCGTATTACTTTTGTAATATGTACTCCTGAAACCTCTTCAGGTAGTATATTCCTTACCACAGACTCCACTAACTGCAGGTCATGTGCATGTCTTCTAGCAGGGTCGTTGTCTTTCGACTCCTCTAGATTCCAAATAATTAAACTAGGGAGGGGTTTGGCTTCTTTTGAAACTGTGTTTACAGCTTTTGAACGTGACGTTAGATCCTGTATTTTAACTACTGGTATCTTACGATTAGTTTTTATTTTAACAGAGTCCTGGGAGTCAAGCGAATGACTCACAACAATGTCAGACGAAACTTTACTATGGGACTTTGGCGGATTGGCCTGAGAGTCCACCAAGGACTTACCAAGTAAACAGTCATTAGTTTTAGCTATCTTTCCTACTCTTCTGCGTTTTCGCGTCATCCATTTTCCATCAGTCGAAACGTCTACATTAGAACAACTCGGGACAGTAATTGTTTTATCTGGGTCACCGGTTGCTGCTGTAGCAATATGGCCACCAACGTCTAATGACGTGTCACTCATTGAACGTTTCGGAGGAGAACGTTTAACTGCTGGTTGCACAGGTAGATGTCTGGCTTGCGCCGTGATAGCACTTACGACACTAACGCAATCTTCGCCATCAGTACCAATGTTATCAGTACAGCCTTCATCAACCTTCTTATTAGCCAACACCAGGAGACTAATTGCTTCCTGGATAAGCAATGTTTTGCTTGAGCAACAAAAACTACAAAGCCAGTGAGAGTTGGGCTTTGAACACCGTTTATATGCAGTGGGGCTTAGTCGGGTGCACATCTTATGGAACCACTTATTACACTCATCACATTGCATCCCTTCATCCACGGGAAATAAGCAGTATGGTTGTCCACATTTATGAGTAGACTTAGCCATCGTGAAAATCAACTCGAATGGTGATAAAAAAACAGGATATGTAAAGGGATTTTCAAACCTTAACTAAAAAACCAAGTAAAAGTCGACCAAGTATGCTTCGATGCAATAAATACACAGAAGCAAAATCAAAAAACTCAATACAATATCACTTTAACTGGGGTAGATGCAATTAAAGTGTAAACAGTAGTTTTGATGCGTAGTTTACGATCAAAACAGTTAATTAACTCAACGAGAAAGAATACCACTGTCCTTTTGAATCACTCTGTTGATCTAGATGAGTCTACAGATCAGAAACCTTTGGATAAGATACGGACCCCAACTGACACCAAAAACCATAACGACATGACTAATCCCAGCTGTTCGTTCAGTAATGTACTAAAATGTGAGTCGTGTAACAACACACGTGCAACTAAACCTATACACTTGAAAATTTGTCCTCCTAAAGATATTCCACAAGTAGACTTGAATGAACGTAAGTTCATCTCACAAAGACAACGAAAGGCTCCAGCTCTAAAAATAAAGGGTGGGAAGACAAAACTCATGATACCGAGTAGGGAAACACGTAAGATTGAACCCAACTGCTCTATAGGTATCCCAAGAACAGTGAACAGGTTCTCCCCGCTGCTATCGCATAACTTGCCTTCAACACCTCTAAGTTGCAAAATGGGTGGTGGGCTTCAACGTAGCAAGCCTTCTTACACGCAGACTAACGAAAACTACCAGAGAACTGCCCACCTAAATCACCCCCTGAAGCCTAAAACCATAAATAAGAATGGTAATAATAGGTTTCT